TTCGAAAAAGACGATGAAAAGGATATTTGAAGGATGTTCAGTGAAAGATTTAGTAAACTTTATTAGAAATAAAGATGAAATTAAAGAAGTTAATGAAATTAATAACCAATGATTTAAAAATGTGCTTAAATGACATTGAAAACGTTTAATTTTTTGAGTGAAAATTATCCTGATTTAGGAAGACGTGTTTTTGTTAAGTGATCAGTGTTAATACAACTAAATTTTGTCGATTTTTTCGATAAATTAGGTTATACATGTGTAATACCTCCAATTTTTGTTTAGTATTTGAAAAAATATGTGGTTTCACTACAGAACCACTGGGAAATAAAAATCTTGCACTGTTTTGTAATGTGATTTCACTTTATATGTAAACTGATTGTTTATTTAAGAAAACTTTTCTTTGGTCGAAAAAAGCTTTCCATTTTCTGAACGTATTCCCATTTAGACCATAGTATTTTCACTTCTGAAAAAAAAGTTTCACTTAACAAAGTAATTTCGTTAATCGAGGAATATGTATATACATTTCTGTGTGCCGTAACATAAGCAGCAGCAATAGTTTGGGTAATAATCCATGGTAAAGTGAAAACGGGGATACCTTTCGACACCATTAAAGGAAATCTCCATGCATTTAGCATCTTAATGCTGCACGCGTTTAACGAAATAATACCGCACGGATGGCATTTACTTAATTGCACGCATGCATTGTTTTCAATCAAGAAAATTAAAGGTTTCGCGAAGGATCTACATAAACACACATACAATATTTGCACGCGATTCCGGGTCTATAAGAAGTGGAAAAAAATAAAGAAAAATTACATATTAATTTTCATATACTTTTTTCTTTCCAACGATCTCTCGGCGCAATTCTCAGAACAGCTTAATATATTGGTTATGCAACGAGGCGATTGTTTGTTCTTTCGATAACTCCACCAATTACAGCTGAACCATGTTTATATTTTGTTATTTTCCTGTTGCTGTGAGTCATGGCTTCACGCTGTTTTTCGGCGCTCGAAAATTTTCCACCGTTGTATAAATATATTTTTTTTACATTATTTTTCCATTTATTTATTTTTTTATCCGGATTATGAATATGGTAATCCGTATGCATATTTACCTACGTTTCGCCTGTTTTTTTCTCTTTTTTCATTTACATTATTTCATTGCTAAGAACATTTTTATAATTAAAATTGTGTTATTGTTATACATTTTTTCGTGTTTTAAGAAAAAATTACTAAAAAAATAAATATATCATCAATAGATTTTTTATTGAAAAAAATTGTCTAAAAATATATTGACAAATTCTCTACTAGAATCAACAAATATTGTAATATTAATAATAATTTACACAGATCTTTTAAGTATTAATTTTAGTTGAATTATTTTAACTTTATTGCAAACTTAAAATAAATTCAGTAAAATTTGTGTAAAATGTTGAAATTCAATAAATTTTAAATATTGATTTATATATATTATACAACACCTTTTAATACAAAGCTTAAATCAACTATCTTAATGAATTATTTTATGATCGGTTTCGATCAGTCCGGATTCACTTTAGTCCGGTTTGAAAATTTCAAAGCAAAGAAAACTTTAATTGCGAAAAATAAATTCTAATAAATCAAAATTATTTATTGATACATAATTAACAGTTTTTTTTTCATTTAGCAGTTTTAAAGTCCTCTATTAGTACGGTTTCAAACAGTCCGGGATAATTGATTTGATAATTATTAACGATTTTCTACTTATGTCATTAAATAAAAGTTAATAAGTAATTTCATTAATATATAATTTCGAGTAATTCATAAGACATTTTATGTTTATATAAAAGTAAATCAAAGTACCAATCCTTGAGGAACACAACATTTACAAAAAAAAATCAGTAAATTTGACATATTTATTTATAGAAAATTAGTTTGTTTTGTTGTTTTCTTATTTTTTGTTTTTTTTTTTTGAGAAATTCGTAAGATTTAAAAATAATAATTATCTTTTGAAGCGGAAAAAAATATATAATTAATAGTATTCTATTTAATAACAATATTCCGTGTGTTATTTTGAAACTTGTTTATTTGCATAAATTGAAGAAAAACACTGTCGACAAAAATTGACTAATTACAATATTTAAAACAAAAAACATATTTTACTTTTATTTTTTTTTTAATTTTTCATTAAAATCGGCGATAAATCTCCGAGAAAATGTTTATTAATTCACTCTTTATTAATGATTTATTTCATTTAATACTCGGGAAATACTTTTCGATACATTTCGGAAAATCCATAAATATCAAGAACACAAAACGTGAGGCAAATAGAAAATTTTCTTAAAAATAAACAATAACATCACATTAATTAATTAAGAAGTTGTTAAGTCAATTATGCATTGGGCTTGGTTTATCTCGGAAATGAGGCATTTACGTAAATGCAAGTAATTGAATATTCGCATAGAGTCGGATAACCGTAATAATTATTGGAAATTTACTTCGTCTTTAATATGAAAAGAACGAATTAGTTTGCATAAGAAAATTGCTTTGTTTGTTTATACGTAGTTGCATTAAATCTAGTTGATCTCTTTTTAAGTACAGTGGAACCTCGCTTAACGAGCACCTCGCGTAACGAGCATTTCGCTTAACGAGCGACGTTTCGTACAACGAGTGACGAAGAGAAGTCCCGGATTGCGCGCCTGCTACATCATTATTATGTGTATTTTTGAATATATTTCACTATACGAGTAAAAATCCACTGTAATTACGTACTTTAATAGAAATTAAACATTTTTTTAAATTTGTAATTTGTTAAAGATACATACAGAATAGTAGAGATCTGAAATATAAAAGTAAAGCAATGAAAAACTGCGCAAATTACACAACAGATGTCGGTAAAGTACGAATTGCATTCCACTTTTATGCAATAAAACAAGTAGTTTAAACGCTCCAAGTTATTTGTGATTTGTGTGTTTATTACTTTTATTTATAAACAATACGTGTTTAATTATAATTACTGATGAATTTAGAACTAAATTGTGTAGTATTAAAACTCACAACTTTAATTATACAGCAATACCTCGCATAGTGCGGCTTCTATTAGTCCGGATTCACTATAGTCCAATTTGAAAATTTCAAAGAAAACTAAATTTTAGTACGGTTTCAAACAGCATATATTCACATATTACCAGCACTATGTTAGATCTAGTACTATTCATGTAAAAGTTGAATTTACTTAGAAAATTAATGCTATTAAAATATATCTTTTAATTAATTGTAAATGTTTGAAGATTTCTTATAATTATTGTTTTGTGATGATTGAGTGTAATTAAAAAAAATCCTTCGAAGATGATATTTATTGTATGTGTAAACAACACGTTAGAAAATGCGGAAACATTGCGTGATTTGTTGGAGGGTTCATGAACAACATTGGCTATTGATCGGGTCAATAAAATTATATAGGAAAGAAATTGTGTCTGCGATGAGGTCAATAATCATCAACCTTCCTTCTTTGTAGTACTACATAAGATATGTCTAATTACTTGAGTTCGAATCAATCTTTTTCTATTTTTGTATTTGGAGACTTTCCAAGGTTCTGCTGGGGTGAATGATCAGATTTTTTTTTTCTCGAATCGATGATTCATTATCATTAGTTTTTTATGATTCGTATTATGATTCAATTTATAATGTATAATATATTACTGTTAAATTTACAAAAAGATGAATTTTTGAAAATAGATATTTTGATTTTAATGATTTTATTTAGAATTTATCATTAATTTTAATTTCTAATTATTTCATTCATTTTAGTAACGAATGAATATATAAAATGTTTTCTAGTTTCTTTTAAAATTCACTTTATATTTTGTTCATTATTAAAATTTGGTTTTACTACATTCTATACTAGAAATGAAAATTTTTAATTTTTTATTTACAAATTTTTATTTTAAAGATTTTAGTTGAAATTGTTTATTAATGTCTGTTTTAACTAAAAATTGTTTCATTCACTTCAGTAAAGAATATTTATATTCAACTTAAAATACTTTTCGCATCAGTAATTTTTTTTTAATCCATATCAATACAGAATATTGATATTCACAATGTTTAGAAATCTCTTGGATTTGCGTCATTCGTAACTTTTTATACTAGAAATATAAATTTCAATTTACAATTTTTTATTTCAAATTATTCATTAATGTCTGCATTAACAAATTATTATTTGATCCATTTTAATATGGAATGTTTATACTAAACATGTTTTGAAATTTCTTGGTTTTGCGTCATTAACAACTTTTTATACTAAAAGTTTCTTAGAACGTGCGACAATAAATTCACTACTTTTTATACTAGAAATATAAATTTCAATTTATAATTTTTTATTTGAAATTGTTCATTAATGTCTGCATTAACAAATTATTATTTAATTCACTTTAATATATAATCATGTTTTGAAATTTCTTGCTTTTGCGGCATTCACTACTTTTTTTCTTTGTTTAAAATGGAAATTAAAATTTACAAATTTTTATTTTAAAAAATTCCCTATTAATTTTATTATTGCACTTTTGGTAAAGAAATTTATTATTTCACGCTAATAATTTAGTTATAACAATTAAGAAATATATTAAAGCGTGAAATTTCTCATATATTTTGTTTTTTCTTTCAAAAATATATAAACGTAAATATATGTAAATGAAAAAAAAAATAAAAAAAAAATATAACGTATGAAACAATAAACTTTTGCAGCGAAGCATAAAGTTCGGTTCGGTATTTCCTTTTTATGTAGCCGATCGTCGCAACAACGCTTTTTCCATAATCGATTTACGTGAGAACAAATACTAATTAATATGGATAATAAAATTCGACAATTTTGCGATGCGATAAAGGCGCAGCGGAGAGCCGCAGGAAACGAAGGAAAAAAGGTCGTAAACGGAGGTAGTAAATGTGGAAAAGCGAACGGCACATGCGCCTCTCAGACGGCATCGTATATTATCCACACCACCATCCAATAAATGCATATTGTTTAAAAACAAAAAATAAACGCAAGAGCAGCCTCCGATTTCCACCGTAAACAGCGATTATACAACTGGAAACGTGCACGTTTTTCCACAATTCATTATTATTTTTTTTGCTCTCCGCTGCTCCTTGCATCATTTCCACCTGATAATTACTTCGGTTCAGTTACTGTGCGGTAATACTCAACTGAGATGTGATAGGTGTGATCGCAGACTCCGAGGAAGATCATTTTTCCCCAAAACGAAAATTTACAAATTTTGAGACAAAACAAAAAACGATAATGGGAACCACAAATAACAATTCGACATCATGTTTTCCACCTCCGAAGCAGAGACGCATGTCAATTCGGAGCTTTTATTGGGTACGTCCGTTTATTTTCAAGCAAAAAAAGACAACTTAATAAGCAAATTCATCAATATTACGAGTTTGTAATACGTGAAAAACTGTGTTTCTCTTGACGATTTTTATTTGAACGGTCATTATTTAATTTCTAATTCGTGACGTTAAATAATGAACGTGCGACAATAAAATATGCTTTATCAAAAAAAAAAAAGTTTATATATATAAAATGTGAACATTTTGCAGTCGTTGCATTTCCATTTCGTTCAGCTGAAATCGAAAGTTTTAAACGTTTTCACTATCAAAACATTAAATAAGTCATAATTATATATACACGAAATCTCGCTTATAACGTCATTTAATTTACTGATTAGTTTTTTTTGTTACAATGAAAATTCAATTACATAATTTCGTATATAAATCCTTATTTCTTATGTAAACTATAGAAGAATATATTTGTTAATGGTTTATATAAAAAATTGTAAAACAAACATATTTTTTTGATTTAGAAAAATAAAAATTATTTTTTTTTGTAAAATAATGAACATTAAACGTACGTGTATGGAAAATAATTGGTGATTAATTTTATCAATTTAAATAATTGCAATAACGCCGTAATTAATATTTTAACGAACGAAATAATAGATATGTTATCAACGTTTGATAGCTCGTGAGAATTGTACAGTTTTATTTCAAACTTTTAACTTAAGTTATATAATTTTACGATAAATTTACTCAATCATTCGCACACATTTTCTCATCATAGATAAAAGCTTAACAAATTAATTTATTAAAAAAAGTTAAATAATTTTATGAGAAATTAGTCTGTATTTTTATATGACTTTTTATCAGAGATAAAACTTTTGCAATTTAACAAAACTATATCTTTTTTCGTTTAAAATCAAGTGTTTATGTTCATTTTTCTTTTACAATAGTAAAATTAAAAGAAAATAGATTGAAATTAACCAAAATAAATACACGATTCAAATCAATCTATTTGATTGAACACAAGTAAAAATAAACATAAAAATATTCATGTTCTTCTTTATAGTTGGAAATTATAAGAAACTTGATAAAAATATATTAGATAAGTTTCTTTTAAGCATTAAGAGTTTCATTTTACGACTTTATTCTATTCATACTTGACTCGTAATGATATGATTTTTATATAATGAACGTGTAATCTTTCATATATTTAAAAACTTTTCAAGAATAAACCCAAAACATGAATGTAATAAAATTATTGTACTGATAATTACTTTTAAGAACAATAACAAATATTAATTGTTCTTATTGAAAAACAAACACTTATTATTAATTATGTTTGTTGTTTCAACACGAATTGTATAATATTATGTAAAAATACTAATTGTTGCTTATTACATATGATGTAACTGTAGCTCTCATTTAAACATGTTGTTTATGTTTATTTTAAAAAATTTATTACCAAAAAGGATAATTAGTAAATAAATTAGCAAAAATAACAATAAAAAAAGTATATATTTTAAAAAATTACGGTAATTGTAACTCATTGTAGAGTTTCTTAATTAAATTTATTTACTTCAGTTTGTTTCATATTTAGTGCATTTCCAAATTTAAAGAGTTTCGTTTAACGACTTTATTCAGTTGAAATACGATACAGTCGTAAGATGGATATACATGTGAAAATAAACATATTGAGTTTGTAAAATTTTGATTGATTTTAAAGCTTTTAATTAATTTTATTTAATTATTTTCAAATATACACATATTTATTTTTATCTAATGGAAATATTAGAAAAAAGAGAATGAAGAAAAATTTTACGACTTTTTTGTATTGAAACTTAACTAAATTAAAGAAAAAAAAGCAAGTCCAGTATTATAGCAATTATTTATAATTAAATTGTAACAAATTATTGAGTTTTACAGGTTTGTTTTTTTTTGTTGTTATTGTTAAAGTTTGTAATTAATTTTATTTAATTATTTTCATTTTACAGTAGATGCGAATAACGATGTTAAGTTTCTGTAAATAAACCATGATATTTTCTGTATCTAAATATAAATTATAAATAACTAAAATGGGAACAGTACGATCGAATCGTCCTTAGCCTTTTGCTTATTTATGCGCTGAATGACGACACACAAATAAATAAATGATCAGTTTATAGTAATAGAAAAAAGGTGTACAAAAAAAAGAAACATTCTATTTTACAAAAAAATTGTAGTGAAATTAGCTAATTTATTAATTAATACGACGACGTGTCCATCTCGTCCTCTAAAATACGAATCGTTCTGCTAGAACGGATTTACACAACAAACATTTCATTCATTCATAAAATTCACACAGCTTTGATTCTTATTTACTCAATGATTGCGTTGGTCATTAACGTAAGACATTTCCTTAATCAATCTGTCAAAAATTGACATAAAAATTGCAAACACGACTATATTATGATTATATGACTTAACGAACACCTCGCATAACGAGCATTTCGCTTAACGAGTGATGATGAGAAGAGAAGTCCTGGATTGCGCGTCTTCTACATCATTTTTAAAACTTGTATACACATATTGTGTGTATTTTTGAATATGTTTCACTATACGAGTAAAAATCCGGAAATTTTGGAACAGATTAAACTCGTTAAGCGAGGTTCTACTGTATATTAAAAATAATGAAATAACCTTCCATTATTTGGAGTTTGTACTTTAGTGCAGTTTTATTGATTTAATAAAGTGAAAACAGGAAGTTATTTTTATTTATTTTTGTTTGTAAAAGTTATATCAAATATTAATTAATTGGTTATAAATCATTGATTTTTTTGTTGTTTATGTGAGTAGTAGGAGTATTCGTTTCTGGCCATTGACCACCGCAAGGTTCTTCAGTCTTGTGCGAATGCGTCTAGTGTTAACAGAGTTCTTGGTTTGGACAATCGCAAGTTTATAAATTTTCATTTATTAATGAACAATGCGCATCTAAAATATATAATTTGTTTCTGATTAAAAAGTAATTTAGTTTTGTGCATTTTGTTGTGATTGAGTAATCAAAGTTTATTTATGGTTAGTTTATATTAAATATGTTTTGAATTTGACTCTGAGTGAATAAACTAAGTTTTCTTTAAATTTGTGAATTTTGCTGCCTTGATTTAAAGTTTATTTATTATAAAGAATGTTTCTGTTTATATAAAAATGTTTACTTTAATTTTCTCATTTTTTTTTGTTTCTAAATGAAAATTCAAATTTTCTTCATTTTTATTTCATAAGAATTTTTATTCATTTTTTCTTCTTATATTTTTTTAACCTGACTGATTAATGAAAGTTCCAGTTTATAAAAAATACTTTAATATAAATATGTTTACTTTAAATTTCTCTATTTTTAGCAAATGAAAATTCAAAGTTTCTTCATAACAAATTTTGTTAATATAAATGTAACAAATTTTAGAGTTTCTTACTTAATTTTATTTACTTTTTATACCAAACTTCAGTTTCCAACTATAAAATATTTTTTTCTTTAAATTTATGAATTTTATCATTACTGAGAAATCAAAGTTTCTTCATTTTCATTTCATAACAAATTTTATTAATATATTTCATTTTTTCTTTGTAAAATTTGATTCAAATCAAAGATTCAGTTCATAAAAAATACTATTAATATAAATATTTTTACTTTAAATTTGTCAATCTTTCTTTTAATGAAAAATCAAAGTTTCCTTGTGATCAATTTATAAAAAAAAATATTAACAGAAAATAGATTCTTTAAATTTGTGAATTTTGCTGTTTTGATTTATTAAATAAAACTGTTAAAATATTTCAGTATTTATCTTTGTGAAGTTTCTTGTGATTAATCAATATTGATTACAAGAATAATTTTGAAATATTACATAATAATTGGTGTTAAAAAAATATGCAATAGTTGCAGAGTTGTTCTTGCAAAATATAAATTCTTCGTGAATTCTGTTGTGCTTTGAGCGAGGAGGAATATAAAAAGCTCGTCGTCGTTAAGGCAAACTGACCGAATCCCTGACCTCCAAAAAAGGCAGGACATCACCACCGTCCCAAAAAAGAATCGGAATCCAGTTTTGCGTTGCTGGAAGTTATAGGACGGGTTTTCGGAGATTAATTTGCCCGGGTGTCAGTTATTTATGGAAACGTTTATGCGAAAATCGCTCTCTCTCTCTCGCTCTCTTCCACGCACACTTATTTATTATATACAAACACACATTTTTGCAATTAATGAAAGTTACGTTGATGAACCCAATTAAGGTGTTTTATGCTTTTCAATTCACCTATGATTACAATGCACGAAGGCCGTGGTAATGATGGAAATCGTTTGTTTTCTTTCTCTCTCTTCTCTTTTGTTTTGTTTACATCGTTCGTTTTTCTCACTCGGCCATCTTCACTGATTGCACAGGCTGAGAAATGTTCTGATGCAGCGACACAAAAGCACGAAACAACAGCAGCAACAACAACAACAACAAAAAAGTATCATTGATAGTACACATGTTTCCCATATTAGTTTATTATTATCGGTAATTGAAATGTCGGAAACATGCCATTATGTATTTCCGTGCATCACATCACCACAAGGCCAATAGGAAGTTGGAGTTTACCATAAACTTTTTTCTCCTCCCAGTATTTACATCTTTTACTTCTGTACATTCATTTTTATCTCTGCTCTAATCGTATTTTATGTTCATCTCTATTTCTTCAATATACAGGACAACCTCGCATAGTGGTGGTTCCGCTAATATACCGGACTGTTTGAAACTGGAATAATCAAAACTTAACAAAAAGAGACTTAATTGTGTAGAAGGATAATCCAACGATCATTTATGTGTACAAAATAAATTTTAAATTAAATTTGTTAAATTTGATTTGAAATTTTCAAACCGCACTGTAGTGAATCCGCACTGATCGAAGTCGCACTTTACGAAATATTGTTGTATTCATTTTAATATTTTTGTTCTGCCAATGTACAGGACTGTTTGAAGCCGCATTTATCGATGATTTTAAAACAACATAAATAATAACAGGATAAAAAGAGACAGGAAGAAACAGATCATTTATGTATACAAAATAAATTTGTGTACTAATTTTGTAATTAAATTTGTTTTGAAATTTTCAAACCGCACTGTAGTGAATCCACACTGATCGAAGTCGCACTTTGCGAAATATTGTTGTATTCATTTTGATATTTTTGTTCTGCCAACGTACCAGACTGTTTGTAGCCGGACTCTTCGAGGACTTCAAAAAAAAAAGAAAAAAAATAACAGGACAAAAAGATAGAAAAAAACACAAATTTGTAAAATTTGATATGAAATTTTCAAATATTGTATTTATTTTTATATCTCTGTGCTTTCAATAGCCGGACTCTTCGAAGACTTTAAAATAACAAAAAAAAAATAACAGGACAAAAAGACAGAAAAAAACACAAATTTGTGAAAATTTTAATTGAAATTATTTTCATATCTCTGTTCTGCCAATTATTGAGAACTTTGAAACAAGTTAGAAAATAACAGGACAAAAAGAGACAGAAAAAATACAGATAATTTATGTATACAAAATAATTTTGTGTACTAATTTTGTAATTAACGTACTATAGTGAAAATACGAAACCGTACTATGCGAGGTATTGCTGTATTCATTTTCATGTATAAATACTGTTAAATTTCTTGGCCTATTATTTCCTTCTATACACTTAGTTTTATCCCAATACTATTTTTTTTACTTCTTCCATATTTTTTTTTCTCTTTTCTAATGATTATATCACTGGAATTTTACATCCCTCTCATTCTATCAATGGTATTTTTCTAACTTTGTATCATTTTCTACTAAATATTCAATTGTTTATGTTTTGTTTCTCTCCGAAAATGATATATCATTTTGTTTACTTCGCCTACCGAGACGACGCACTTTTTTTTTGGCTTCGAACAACATCAATTAAATGATTCCTCTGACAAAGACGGATATTGAAGCTGTCAGCCTTCGCCTCGCACAACATCGCAATTAAGAAACGTATAATTAACCAAATCCAAATTTCATAAATCATAGAGAAAAGTTTACATCACTCGATGATGGTTTCGCTAATATCTCGAACTTTTTGAAAGCGGACTAATCGAGAGTAATTTGACTATAGAGAAAAGAAAAATATCCAATAATTTCTTCGAATTTATTTTTAGTAATGCAGCAATAAAATTGAGTTTATTTTGAAATTTTCAAACCGGACTATAGTGAATTTGTATTGTATTTTTATAAATAGCAACTTTAGTATTAAATAATTGCATGTATATGGGCTATTCACGTAACTACAATTAGCATCCACTTACGAACGAATCTGTTATGAGATGTTTTGTTTCACGGTTTTGGATGTAAGAAAACAAAAATCGGAAATATTGACTGCTACCATTTTTAATGTATTATGTTTACATTGTGTGTGTGTGTCATACAGATCCTGTTTGTTCGTCAACAATAGAATAGAATCATTAGCAGAGGTTTCGTGTTTTAATGCACGATTTAGTTTCTCTTTAAAATTTTATTTACACGTGTTTATGTAACATTTATTTATATGTATCAACAGCAGAAAATATAAATGCACATTGGACTCGCAATTTAAATAATTATTTATTACTGTTATAATTAGGAGCAAAATAAAAATATTTGCCTATCAACATTATCATTATAAAATTACAAAAAAAAAACAAAATAATTAAGTTGAATCGTATAATTAATATTATAAATTATATAATTTTTGTGTTTTTTTTAAATTTATTATGAATTATGGGTTAATTGGTGTATAATAAATCATATTTGTTATACAAAAAAAACGATGATGGATTGAAGTTTAAAATAATCTAAATTTATGTATGGTACAAAACTAGTTTAGACTAGTTCTTCAATTCTTATTGGGTTTCTTGGTAGTGGTAGAGAGGCTCATGGCTTATGCAAATTGGAATTCGTCGAATTTTTGAGCAAACAAGTTTTGATGAAAAAAAAAAACGACGATCGATCACCGTTAATCAAACAGAATCCGAAGTTGTTGATGATCATTTAAATTCCACGAATTGAAAAGTGTCCGTAATTGTTCGTGATTAAAAAAAAAGTAATAATGAATATATGTTAATAATGTTTTGTTGGAGGCGCAGTAATAAACTTAATTAATTGGGATTAGACGAGGAATTTCCGAGAGACACAAAAGGTTTTCTTACGTAATCGTTGCTCAACGATTACTTTTTTTTTTACGAAAGTTTTGTTAGTTAATGATTGATGTGTATGTTTAAGCGAAGTTTTTATTATTGATTTTTCAAATGATATCAATAATTTTGTATGAAGAGAATTTCCTTGATTGACAATATACAATTTTTATGATTTTTAGGATGATTTTATTTTAATAATATATTCTGAAAAAACAGTTTGTTTCATGGAAAGATTAATTTAATTATGTTGTGAATCATGAAATAAATTAGGTATGTTTTAAACAAATTATGGTGAAAGCTTTAATTAATGGTTGTTAATTAATGAAATCAATCATGGAAATATGTATTGATTATACGAAAACAAAACTAAATTTATGTTGTTAAATTATACATTGAAATAAATAAATAAATAATTAAAAGAAAGTTATATAATTGTATTGAACCTAGCTAAGTTTTGTAGGAAAATTTTTGCTTTATTCACGCTATGCTTAATTAGAGTCTTAAGTGATTTTCATGTGTATTCAATAATGAACTGAAACTGAAAGTATATAATGGAATAAAGTGATCCATTTTTTTTTTCTAGAAACGTAGGTTAATAGAACAAGTTTTGATACATACACAATGTGTAATAATGAAATTACATAACGTTAATGGAATAAAGTGCTTGTATTTTTTTAACCAATATTTGTAGAACGAGTTTTGATACATGAATGCTTATGTAACAAATAATCCATACCATAGTTAATATGGTTTTCATGGAATATTACACGTTCTAAGAAATATGTTTTTTTTGCTAATTTGAATTAAATTAATCAAATTTATTTATTTTTTGCTGAAAGATTGAAATTGTAATGTGAAATGTAATGTTATTCTTTGTTTTTTGCAGATAGAAGAGGGGTACAACGATAGCGAGATGACTGTGGCCTGCGAGAACAACACAGGATCTGCGGATCCTGCACACAACGATAATGGAACTGTGTACACGGTTTCCGTGAATCGTAGCTACGACAATAAGGGCTACAACAAGAGCGATGACGGAGACCCAAAGAAACCGCCGCGCGAGATCAGTGACGAGGAGGCCTCCCAGCAGGGTAAATTCAAGCTGTCGCGGAAGGAGAAGTGGAGGATCCTGAAGAACGTGTCGGCCGTGTCCTGCGCTTTCATGATCCAGTTCACGGCCTTCCAAGGCACCGCGAACCTGCAGAGCAGTATCAACGCCAAGGACGGCCTCGGCACCGTCTCGCTCAGCGCCATCTACGCCGCCCTCGTCGTCAGCTGCATCTTCGTACCCACACTAGTTATTAAGAGGCTAACGGTAAAATGGACACTCTGCGTATCGATGCTATGCTACGCCCCGTACATCGGGGCGCAATTCTACCCCAAATTCTACACCCTCGTACCTGCTGGCGTCCTGCTGGGTATAGGCGCCGCTCCCATGTGGGCATCCAAAGCCACGTACCTCACGCAAGTCGCGGCGGTCTACGCTAAACTCACGGATCAACTCGTCGACGGAATCATCGTACGCTTCTTCGGCTTCTTCTTCCTGGCCTGGCAAACGGCCGAACTCTGGGGAAACCTTATCTCATCTTTAGGTAAATCATCAACACAAACTTCAGCAACAAATCCTAATCATTTCCATCAGTTTTAAGCAATCCACATGGAGGAGATGGATCTGGTCCGAACGATACGTTACCCACATACGACAGCTGCGGTGCCAATTTCTGCGTTATGAATATGCACAGCAACGAGAATCTGGCTCGTCCGGACGACAAGGAAATCTACGAAATCTCAACCATCTACTTGGCCTGCATTCTTGTAGCCGTCATCATCATCGCCGTCTTCGTCGATCCACTCTCAAGGTACTTTTCCTATACAACAATTATTATTCCGTACGCAATTACTATCCGACAATCCAGTCTACAACTACAACGATTAAATTACAATCGCAATAAATTACACGGTTCTTTTTTTCTTCGCATTAATTTTCTTACATCACTCGCCTTTGTCAGCAAAACTAACGAATTCAATACAATTGCACTTCGTAATTATCTTAAATTCATTCTTTGACAATCATCGTTCCCGGATGAAATAAAATCGCATAATCATAATAATTTATTTATTTTTTTTTACAATGTATAAAAACCACAAGTTTATTATGTGTGTATAATATAATCAAAGGATTTTGTGGAAACTTTGATGAATTTGCTTAGTATTTAAAACTTTTGGTCTACAACTACAACAAACGCAATAAATAATAGCGCTTGTCTATTGTTTTTTTTTTCATTGACTCTTACATCATTCACCATTAAAACTAATGAAGCCAATAAAACTGCAGTTAGTAATTATGATAATTAATTCTTTGATGGATGAAAAAATCGTATAATTTCATTTCCTACTTTAATAAACTTGTCTCAACGAAATTCGCGTCTCCTTGTTCAGAAATAATTAAAAAATAAGATGAATTTGACAGTATGAAATATTTGCAACAGAAATTGTTTAATCAATTAATTAAAACGTAAAATACTAACAATAATTAATTCTGAAATAATCTTAATTTGTTAGAAATATTTTATGTATTTTGTGTATTCCTATTGGAATTCATTTTTCATTCATTCGTGATATAAAAAGAGAACATTTGATGGTAAATATTGCTTAACTTTTAGAAATCTTCTAAAATTTTAGAAATGAGGATTGTTTAATATTTTGCGAGATTAAAAAGAATCAGGATTTTGTGAAAAAAAAAGACAATTACTTAACTTTTGAATATTGCTAAAACTCAATATGATATGATGATAATCCCAGAAGTTCGTACAAATTTCCTAAAATTTTATACATTTTGATGAGTCTATATTTGAATATAATTTGTTTTAAATTAGTTCAGATAAACTCCTTAAATTTCTATTTAAAAGAAACTCATGAAAACAAACCAGACACACTTTTGTATATATAATAGCAAAGTGCGTCCACTAATCGATAAAATTGTCTATGCAAATAGAAACCGATTTTACTTTGCTGTTGTTCACAGTGATTCTCATGCAAACGACAATTCGTCATAGCTTCCAAGTTTTAACTGTAACACGTAAATCCGGCAAATTACTTAATTATAATCAATTTTATTTATATAACTTTTAATATTATTGATTCACATAACAATTTTTGTTGTATTTTTTTTCTACTTGCGGCTTAGTTAAATCTATAATTTATTAACATTAATGAAGAGATTTTTTTTTGAAATAATCTATTGCGAATTTGCGTGTTTTCGACTGTTTCGTAACCGATTGATTATTAGAAATTTAAATGTTACCGTAATGAATATGTATAATTATCAACAACAACAAAAAAAATAGTAAATGATTGATTAAGTTAAACTTTCTGTTTGGAAGTGCGTTTATTTACTTATTAACGCGATGTAATTGCTCGTCTTAATTTATTCATTCGCGTCGCATTACCTTTAACCTTGCTGAAATGCCAAATGTAAATAACCGTTTGATCAATAGCAGCAACATCCATGGAAATCGTGACTTTTGTGTCACTTTACTGGATAATCCGTAAAAGTCGTGTGCATTTCATGGATTAAGTATAATAATAACAACTATTAAAAAAAAGGAATAATAACGAGGGCACGGAGAAACGGAAAGGAATCTGTTACGTAATTTCGGAGTTTTGCTCTTGCAAAAGCGAGAAAACAGACACACACACATCCTGCAGGTTCTTTCACTTTCGTGATGGAGGAACGAAATATTGTAGTGAAAAACGAAACGCGGAAAAGACCGTGAACTTTATCGAACGAATTTCAGAAGAAGCAAAATAAACAACGTATTTGACGCGTATATAAATTTTAAAAAAAAGTATCGCAAACGTAACCTCGTTACCTAATTAAAACTGTTGTAGTGTCTCGCGTTTCGTCCGCAATCAATTTTTGATATATGTAGTAGATATTTCGCTTCGGATCTCCTCTGTAGGCGCCAACCGATCTCAATGTCGTCTGCCTCTCGAAGATGATGAACTTGAAAAAGAAATGCACACATACGAGGAAAAAATAAATAAATAAAATCCACTTGCGTCACTGCATACATTAATATTTCGGAGCCGAACTGTCGGCATGTAATATAATTAATTCTTCACGTTAAACTAATTGCGTGAAAGTATCGGGAATTAAATGAAAGAACAAGAAAAAAAGACGATTATTTTGTAAACGTTTGTGTGTGTGTTTCTTTTCAAATCCGAAGACTCTTACATAAGACCTTGGGTCAATTCGCAAATAACATCTCTGTGCACCTTACTTTTAATTACTTAATAAGCAGTTTAAATCTACCGTATTGTGTGGCTTTTTTTTTAATATGCCCGTGCTCTTCCTGCGGTTACGTAAGTTACGTTTAATCGAACCACAATTTATTCAATATTCAATTCTCTCCTATTATGATTAAATAACTATTATGTTTTAAGTACATATTGTGTATTAAATAACAATTAAGATTTAATATGAATTTTGTTTTTTTGCAGATATGGTGAGAAGCAGAGGAGAAATAGTGGAGCTGAGCTTTCAGGAATCCAATTGCTTTCTGCTACGGCTTATCAACTGAAGAAACCGTACCAGCAGTTACTCATTCCTATCACAGTATGGATCGGCATGGAACAAGCTTTCATCGGCGCTGACTTCACTCAGGCCTATGTTTCTTGTGCATTGGGGATCCCATCTGTGGGATATGTGATGATCTGCTTCGGTGTTGTCAACGCGCTGTGCAGTTTGCTCTTCGGATCTGTCATGAAGTATATTGGCAGGCAGCCGATCATGGCTCTAGGAGCACTAGTTCATTGCGCTTTGGTGGCTTGGTTCCTGGTCTGGAAGCCTCATCCGTCCAATCCGTCCGTCTTCTTCATCGCCTCTGGACTCTGGGGCGTCGGAGATGCCGTCTGGCAAACTCAAGTCAACGGTAAGTTTCATACATTCATCACTTTATATGACACAATAATACCATTTTCTTTATAAACTTGATCTATATTCGATACTTCATTCATCAGCAAATTTGTTATCATACAACAAGCAACGAAACGAAACAAAATATAATATTTGAACAAATCATGTAAAAAAAGGGCAAAATATTTTGATTTTAATTAATCTGAATATAGATAAGTAATTACACTTGATTTAGATATATCTTGTATAAAGACTTGATTTTCTAGCAAAATTTAACAAAAAAAGGATAGGAAAGTATCAATTTATTACAATGTAATTAATTGTTATTACAATCATTTACAATCTACTTTTTTTTGAGTATATTTTTCAAAGATTTCATTTGTTGATATATAAAATATATAAAAAAAAATGATTATATTTTTAACCGTATTTTCCTGCAAGAAATGTTATTTTTACTTTAATAATTTTTAAATTGAATTAAAATAAGAAATAAAATATATCTAAATATTAATCAATATAAATAGAAAAGGCAATTCTAATTGATTAAGAAAATGTTACAAAATTCAATTTCTTGTTTGGAAATATGCATTTTTTTCTACTTGAATTGCACAATTATTTTCTTGTCAGTTTAACAACTAATTTAATTGTTTGAAAAGCAATAGAGAACAAATATAATAAGCACTAAAATACGTCCAATATTAACAGAGGAATTCCAATTCGAAAATGTAATAAATTATCTGATATTACCTGCCAATCATTATTTATGCGAATAACTGTACACGAAACTAAATCCAGTGCGAAGTAATCTTTACTTTATAATAAATTTATAAAGGTCGTTCTCGAATGAAAAAAAAAATAAGATGGAAAAAAAATACGATAATATATTAATTTTAAATTGAGCGTGCAATTAGCGAAGCACGAGTATGTTAATGCCTTTTAAATGGAACGTGGTCGTACGGAGAAGACCGGACACGTATTTTCAAGCAGATCACATATCAATTATTTATCGCATTGTTTTATTGTTTTTTTTCTCTAGTCTATTATTCTTAACTTATTATTTATTACACGTGGATGCACGTAATTAACGGATATTAGAATCTAAACTAAAGCTAATAATTTAGATTTGTTTGTAAACAAATTGGAAAGATGATCGAAAATAACGATGATCTCAGCGTGCGTTTCGTCCTATCACTTCGTTATTAATATTAATATTCGGTCGGCCGTGTATATTTACGCTTATAATTATATATCCGTTTGAACGCTGCGAGAAAGATCGTTCCGTTTCTTTATTTAAGCGAAAAAAGAGTTGAACGATAGGCGCAGCGAGTAACCTGCCTTGCCCGCAGGTAAAGAAGTATCTGGATACAACTGAATTCTGAACTCGGTTTATGCATATGTATTCGTACGTATTTACTCATTAAAATAAATCCAGCACGAATTATTTCCAGATTTGCGTACAAGCGTTTTACTTTATTCCTTTTATTGTTGTTGTTGTTCTTGATGTTGTTTAGCAGATGATGCAATGCAATAGTAGAAAGTTTTATATCGTTTCAAAATTGCGTGGATTTCAGTTACAATAACAGGAGTTTGTAACTGGTTATTTGTAGTTCGAACCGCATCGAACCAATTTTCTCAAAGTCGTTCGTTTCTCATATTATTTATTTATTTATTTATCGATTCGCAGGATTGTACGGCACGCTGTTCAGAAGGAACAAGGAAGCGGCGTTCTCCAACTACAGGCTGTGGGAGAGCTCAGGATTCGTGATCGCCTATGCTTACTCCAACCATCTCTGCGCTCGCATGAAGCTCTACGTTATGCTCGCTGTCCTGTTACTCGGCGTCTTCATGTACATCATCGTCGAGATCTTGCACACTAGGAAGCTCAGGAGGCAGAAGGAGAAGGAAAGGCAGGCTGCCGCTTTGGAAGCTACGAAGATGCCGCAGGAACCTGAGGAAACTGATGATGAAATTGACGAGATCGACGATAAGATTATTGTTACACACTTCTAGGGAATTTCAATCAAGCAAAAAAAAAAGGTAATTATCATCTATCCAGACGTTGCACTCTTTATTATGGCTATTATAAAGGACAGGATTTCACTAATTATATAATCATCAAGTAAACAAACAATAATTTAAAAAAAAAATGGCTTAGGTTTATTGAAAATAGAAACAACAGGATTATTAAATTAATTACTTATTATATGTACTTATTACAGTAAATTTGAGCTAACCTAAATATATATATAAAAAAAATAATAAAAACAAACTAATAAATTGTTTAGTTTTTCCTTTTTTTAATTAATTAAATAAATAATTATTATTTACTTGTTCAATTTCATGCATAATCCTTATATTTCTTATAAACAATCAGAACTTAATTTAATTAAAAAAAATCAATTAGAAATAATCATAATTATTTAAACGTTGAGTATTATCAAAACACGAATATTAACTAAATAATTATGGTCTGTGTAATCTAATTATTTGGATTGCATTTCTAGTTTTGTACATACAAATAAATGAAATTCTTTGACTAAGAAATTTGAAACTTTCAATGATCCTTAAATATTTTAAGTTTTTAATTACTTTGAAAAAGTTCTTATACAATTTTTATAAAATAATTCAAATAAATATTTTCTTTTTGATTTTTATAAACATATTGAAAATTTAATGATTTTTTTGCAAATATTTTATCAGTATATTCATTAACTTTTAATAATATAGTTTAAAATATAGTCTAGAATGTAATAATTCAATGTAGACTCATTTAATACAATTTTAATGAAATTGAAGGGAGAATAAAAATAATATAACAATTTCTAATACTACTTAGAATGTAACACATAAGTATATTTTTTTTCTTGAATGCTTCTGTAATTATAAAGTAACTTTATTAATTTTAAGTCTCACTTTTTGTTGTAATTTAAATATTCATTTAAAAATGGTGAGTCTCTTGTTGATGGGCAAATTTAGAAATGACTAAATCTATTTTCGATTATCATTGAAAATTTACTATTTCTTAAAAATAATAGTATATATTCAATGATAGTCGAAAATAAATTGTTTAGTATACTTATGTTGGAGCAAAGTAAATAAATATTCTAATTAATAAAGTGTGTGTAAATGAAATAAACTAATAAAGCATTTCGACGTTACGATTAATATTTTCTTGCTTCATATTCTACCAGGAAGCAAAATTGAAACTTAATTAAAAGTCTATAAATTTATGAATATTAATTTGATAAAATCATATTAGTTTATTGAATACTGAAATCAATAGTAATTTATAGAAATAGTTTAAATTTTCGATGAACATTAAAATGTAGGTCGAATAACGGGTTTATTTTGGAGTTTCAAATTAAAACTGAGGTGTTACTGCTTCGAATCGACATATAAAGTGAAGACTCTTAAGCTATTAATAATTTCGGATAATTAGATCATAAAGACACACACAAAAAAATATGCTGAATAGATTGTAGAGCTACCGTTAGAAGGAACATTGTTCGAAAAATTGAATTTGATTTTCTCTTTTGCGCAACGAAATCGTATCACGCGAAGCCCAGATGATATGCAGATTAGAAATTCGCCGTCGAATTGTATCCGCGTCGGTTTGTAATTTCTGGGTGGCGCCCAGATCCAAATTTCGTATAGGAAACAACAGTTTTCGTCACGTCCTTGGATAAATGCAAATTATTTGGATTACGATTATTAAGCGATTATTGTTATTTTACGATTTGATTCCTGAAATAAAATTGAATCTTTTGCAAGAAGCAATTGGATTTATATATGAAAAACAGAAGGCAGGTGAATCGTAAGACTGCGATTATCGTATCGCGTGTTTTTAATTTTTAATAATATGTTTATTTTTGTTTCGTTAAAAAGTCATTCACACTTTCGAAATAGATTGTAACTAATTAAATATTCATTAGGGAACTGACGACGTTATGTACATGTTGCAAATAAAATTATAAATCATTTAAGAAGTCCGTTAATGGGCATTTCCAGGTACAATTCTAAACAATATTTCATTGACTTGTCCTTGTCGATTCTCATCAAAAGCAAATCTCGTCAACGTCAATAGCTGTAAATAAATATACAAGCAAAACTGTTTTCTTACCTTAATGTTACAAAACTATACATTTACTCAATGCAATTTCGAATGAAATCTCAATAAAGTGAATTACAAAACAACAGTTTTTTAAGTTTTCAATTTTGTAGTTGTAAATTGTAATTTTTGTTAAACCAAATGACGAAAATATAAATGAATATTTTCAATTCAGTTTTTATATTATGCAATTACGAAATTGATACCTGTAAATAGTTCAAAAAAAAAACATTTTTAACCATCTACTAACAAAACTGTCCATTTTATCATTGAATTTTTTAACGGAATCTCAACTAATTGAAGTTTTACAGCGACTAAATTATGAAACTGTTCATTTTATCAATTCAATTTCACGCTTTAATTAATAAAGCAACAAATTTTAATTCAGTTTTGAAACTGTACATTTTCTCAATGCACTTTTGAATCAAATCTCAATATTGTGAATAGCAAAACTACTCTTTTGTAAAGCATCAAATTATGAAGCTTACTTCAATTTTGTAGCTGTAAATTGTATTTTTTATTAGACCAAATGATGAAAATATTCATTTATCAATTCATACTTCAATATTGAAGCCAATTTCATCAATTGTAAGTATTTAAAAACAGTTTTTATGATATATAATTACGAAATTGACAATTTTCTCAATTTTATTCAAAACTCGTTAGTTCTTAGCTGTAAATAGTTAAAACAAAAACCAATTCCAACTATCAAATAACGAAATTGTCTATTTTCAATCAAATCGCAACAAATTGAAGGTTTACAGTCACCAAATTATGAAACTATTAATTTTCTTAATTCAATTTTGAAGCTAAATGTATTAACGTAAATAATCAATCAACAGTTATCATGTCATAAAAATTGAATTAACACAACTTCAATAGTTGTAAATAGTCAGAAGCCGTTTTTCTGTCTTAAAATTATGAAACAAAGCATTTTCTAAATCCAATTTTTATTTGTAAATCAACAGTTTTCAATCAATAAAATAACTAAATTAATAATTATGAAACTAATTTCATGAACGTTAAAAGGTGTAAATAGTTGAGCAACAAAAAATTGTATGCTGAAATCACGAAACAAACCAATTTATGAATATTATTTTGAAGGAAATTCGAACAATTTCTAATATTTTTTTTTTTTCAAATTTGCAGAAAATTTAATAGTTAATAGAAGAAACAGTTTTTATGCCACCAAATTATGAAACAAACCAATTTCATAAAAAAATTACAAATAGTTACAAAAAAAAAACAATTTTCCTAACTAGAAATTTTAAAATAAACCATATTTCTCATTTCTATATAATTTCACAACATATTTTCAACGTAAATTACTGTAAATAGTCAAACAATAGTTCACTTTATGAAACTAAGTAATTTTTCAATTAAGTTTTGAAGAAAATGTAGAAGAAAAATAGAATTCCTATAATAAAATTATAAAATGAATTCAATTTTGAATCAAATCTCATGAAAATAAATAGCTGTAAATCATCAAGCAATCATTTTATTACCTTAATATTAAAAAATTATGAAACTAATCTTTATTTTTTTTTCTTTGTTACAGGTAGATTAGATGATCCGATTCTCAGATCTTATATTCGCAATGGAGAATACAAGATGCTACCCAAACGAAAAAAGTAAAAAAAAACAAACGTAAAGTAGTCGAGTGTTTACTTTAAGTAAATAGCAGAACTTAATAAATGTAATACTATTGTTGTTGTTATTATTGTTGTAGTTGTTGCGATTTCAGATTTCGATTGACTTGAAATCTGCTGGAAACGAAAACAAAAACAAAATCTTCTTGAAAACAAAACAAAAAACAAACATGCGACTTTGGCTTTCTTGATATTCGCAAAGTATTGTTGACCAAAATTTTTCGCGCACATTTATATATTATACACACATATAAATATCATTACGTTATCTGTGATGGTAAAGGTTTTACGTATGAACTGTTAAGGTTTTGCATTTTTGTACAAATACGCGTTTTTATTTTAATTTACTCCGATTTTAATTTTTTTGGTTTATTTTTACCTTAGGACTGTGATCATATAAATCATGTAATTTAACGCTATTTTTTTCTTTTGTTTTTAACTGCTTCCACTTTTATTTTTTCGTGTAAATAGAAGTCGTGTATTCGACGTTACCTATGTATATACCAGTACGATATTAAACAGTAAACTGCGTACAAAAATGCATCTCGAAAATTTGATACAGAGCAATATTATATTATTATTCTTCACGCGGAAGAGTGTTTGAAAAAGTAAATGTATTTTTTACACAACGAGTTACTGTAAATCCTTTCAATAATTTTATTTATCCGAATTATTATGATTATATATATATTTACATGTTATATTTCGTTTAGTATTATTTCGTGTTAACACTAATTAATAGAAACGCAGTAATTTGCACCGATTTCAAGTGCGTAGAAGATCAAATTTATAAATTATTAGTATCTTAATTATTGTTAACGTTTATTTATGTATTTTATTTCCTTAGATTATAATTATAGACACCATCCCCACTGTACAGTAATATATAAGTTTTTTTGTTTATAGTTATAACAATCAATCCTTGTTGTGAATAGTCAGTATTTTAACAACTAAAATAAAAATCAATGAAAATGAATGTCTTTATTTTATTTATTTCTTACTTCTCCCATCCTTACTTTATGATACACTTAATTGATATTTAATAGACGTAAGTCACAATATAATAAGTTTAATGTATTCATGGAATATTACAAGAATCAATATACAGCGTTCTATTGAACTTTGCTGCGAAGTTGCAACATATCACAATTGCCATGACACGAAACTGACACAATTATAAAACAAATGTGATGGTGCATATTGTTAGTAAGTACATTAGTAATTATGTGTTTAGTAATTAAGTTTTTAGTAATTTAGTTTTAACATTAATGAGAGAAAAAAAACGTGAAATGACATTAAACGTTATCTTGTCGCGACTTGATTGATGACTGCGACTGCTGATGATATTCTAGTTCAAGGTCATCTTCATTAGAATTCTGCATCTAACAAGAAAGGTGAATGTCCAATGTTATTCCACAATAATCAACAAATCTGAAGAATGGAATTTTCAAACTTTACTTTCTTACCCAAATTAATTTATTAGTTAAATCTCATAGAAAACAATACAATTTTAGCAGATAAATGTTTATAGACATAGAATTTATTTAATATTTGTACTTAGTTATATAAAGTTAAGTTTTCCATTCATAAAATATTAATTAAACAAATATCTTCTACTACAGCAAATTGTATCTAAACTTTAATTAAAGTTCTAAAAAATGAGAACACGAAATTATAGTTATAAACATAAATGATCTCTTTCTTCAATCCATTTTTTTTGTATGCGGTTTGAAAGTCCTCGGTTAGTCCGGTTTAAAACAGTATGGGATATTGGCATAACCGCACTATGCGAGGTATTTCCAACGAAGTATTGATTAATATTTATACGTTTATATTGTCATTGAAAATTACCTTAATATATGATTTAGTTGTACATTTCTTAAGTTACAAAATTATATTTGTCTAAACTTTATCTTACTAAAAATTAAAAAAAAAACAAAATTTCAAAAATATTTATTGTTTTCTATTTATTTTTAACTATAATTTTTAGGATATTGCAAAAGAATGGTCTTTCATAAATAACACCAATTATACGTTTGTTTTCTGTTGCTTGGTGATAAGATAATATTGTGAGTAAAGTATTGAAGTTTGTTTTTGTTTCTGGTGGAAACAACCAATAATTTATGTTTTTTTAAAGGCATATATAGTAATTGATTGGATTATTTGAAGGACGACTTCTTTGATTTCCTTTAAAGAAAACCTACGTTATTTCTTGCATATTTAGAATAGTTATTAAATTACGCACTGTGTCGCATAATTTGCTCTATAAATTGATGATAATAATATTATAAATTTTAATAATATAAGAGAATAGGTGTTTTTCAGTTAGTTATTTAATTATGTTTAAATCAAATAAACATGATTAATTGTAAATTTTAACCTTGTTTAACTTAAAATAGATTATAATATTATTAATATAATAAGTAAGTTTTCTTTAAATTTAATTGAAATCTACAATATTAATCATTTCCTTTCAATTAATTTACAATCTTTATTAATTACATATAAGTTATGGTAAAAATCTTATTTCAATCATTTGTTTTGTGAGATTTGGGTAGAAAATTTAAGGTAACTTATGTTATATCTTTTTTATGTTTATAGCCCTTTTTCTCATCCATTTTAGGTGCTCATCAATCCTATTTCTTTTTTATCTCATTTCCATACTTTTTACCAACTTCAAAATAAATATCTCTTTAAATTTTAGTTAAATTTTATGTTACAAATTTTTCTACATTTACATCACTAGTTCTGCTTCTTTTAGGTACTAATAGATTCTATTTTTCATCTCGTTATATAAGTTTACATACTTTTTACCAAAATCCAAAGAAACGTGTCAAAATATATGTTTATTCAAATTTTTAATTAAAAAATATGTACTTTGTGTAAGTTTACAAAGTTTGTCACAAATTATAAAAAAATATGTATCAAAAATATTATTTATTCAACTGTTTCAATTAAAATTTATTTTATTTCATCTTCTACTCATTTTCGCTTATTTTAGGTACTCATCGAACTTTATTATTCATCTCATTTTATAAGTTTACATAGCTTTTAACAAAATCTAAAGAAATATTACCAATTTTCAATAGACTATAAAACATTATAAATCATCTCATAACTATAATTATATGGTCAAATTAATTATGAATTAACTTACTAACTAATTATTCGGTTATAATTATTTAATACCAAAAAAGTTTATAAGAAAAAAATAATCCCAAATTCGTAACGATTTTCATTTATTGAAAATTTATTCTATATTTGATCAAATATTATTCATAAATCTTGTATTTTTAATAATTATAATAATAATGTATTACTTAGTATATAGACGTATGCATTCTTAACATCCAAAGTGAATGTGTGGTTGCCTATATCAATTGTATAAAAAATAATTCTCATCTTAATATGAACTATTTACTGAACTTAAAATTAGTTTAAAAGTATAATTGAAGGCTCGTAGTTATATTTAATTAAAATTTACTTCTTAAGTTTCTTTAAGACAAAAGTTTAAATTAGTATTTAAATAAGCAAAGGGAATGAATTACTGTGTCAATAAAGTTTATTTCAATTAAATAAGCTAAATTAGTGTAATAAGTATTTGTCTAATTATTTACTAATAATCATAAATGAGTAATTAAAATTAATTAAATATTTATGTATAGGAAACGTAAGGTGTTTCAATTAGAATAAATTAAATATGTCCAAAGAAAACTCATAGTTGCAAAATTTATAAAAAGAACTTTAGAAGTGTTTTCCGATAAAGATATACAACCTTGCAAACTCCGGATAATCGGTTTCGCCAATATCTCGGACTGTTTGAAACCGGACTAATCGAGGAACTAAATATATATATAAAAGTAAAGCTCACGAAAAGAGACTTAATTATATAAAACAAAAGTTAGGGAACTTTTGTACTTATTAAATTTGAAAAGTAGAAAAATCATAAATAAATTAAATTCAAATGATTTATTCATTTAAATGATTTGTTCATTTAAATTTACATTATTTTAATTGATAAACTAATTGCTCATTAATATCCAATATCATTAATATCCAATTTAATTACACCAAATTCGACCACTGATATAATGAGAAAAATAAGTATAAATTTTCTAAGATTTATTCTTATTTTGTTAAATTCAAATTTAGTTTGTTTTGAAATTTTCAAAGCGGATTTACTGTAAATCCGTACTGGTCAAAGCCGGACTATGCGAGTGATTATTATACTAAGATAAATGCAAACAATGTGCTAGGTGCAGTCATAAGTATTGTGAGTAAATAATAAGGAACGAACGGAAATTACGAAATGCGCCTTTATCAATATACCTTATCTATTTAAATTCTGTTAAGTGCTAGACTCAAGTTCGCGCGCGACGCTCGTAACAGCAGCAGCAGTAGCTGTAGTCGTCTAAAATAAAACTGTTGCAAGCAAAAGCGGTTCTTGTTAAGCAAAAAGGTGATTCATAACAGTAAAAATAAAGATCGCAATATGTGTATTTAGTGTCTGAGCAGCGGCGACGCGAACGTTTTGATTTAGCGGACGATGCACAGCGTTCAAAGATATATAACAAAATGAATGATGAGAATACCGAGTGCAGTGCTTCAGTGTCCGCCAACACCGAATTGGAATCTGTACAGCAGGACAAGAAGGGCACAGCCATTGAGAAGTGCTCCAAATGGTTGGAGGAATGCTCCTTGGACGATACCGAATCAATCTCTACATGTGATACCTCCGACTTGACATCGGAATGCTCGACATTCGACGATTCCCTCAGCTACGATTCCAAAGGCATCGCTTCAATAAACGCAATTAAAACTAATGGAGATTACAATGTAATGTAAACAAAACAATATATTATTAATTAATGTACTTTAGTATAAAAATATTTAACACAATTGTTATCTGGTGAATCACTTCCTATTAAAACCAACAAATACTATAATTCCTGCCAAGTTCAGAACGTAAACATAATTTTCAATAATCTTCAAGAACAAATAAATACATTTTTTTGTTTAATTATAGATAGATTCGCATCAGTTGGGAACGTTGGTTAGCGCGTCAAACAATATTTATCAAAATGTTACTATAAACAAATCAAAGAAGGTGCATTTAGGTAACATCACTTACATCAATGGACCGATCTATCTTAATCAGCCTAATGATAACTTGAAGTCTATATCTGTAGCTGCAATTGAAGCTCCAACTAAAAAAAGTGAGTGTTTTGATTTTATATTGGTTATTTGTAATTTAATTATTTCTTTTGCAGCTTACACGAAAGTTAGATTAATCGATAGAAAGAATTGGCTAGCCCAACCTTCGCTTTCAGAATGCGAGAAATTGTCAGAACCTGCCAAATACGTGATCATCTGTAAGTAATTCATCTAAATTTGTTAGAGTTTATGTTGAACTTATTGTTCTATTTCGTGGAATGACAGAAACAAGATCAAAAATTAATTTAAATTTAGAAGAAGTATTTATTATTTTATTATTTTGATTAATTTTACTGTACCCAAAACCGGTTTTTCTTTGTAAATTTAGGGTATTACCCGAATTCATAAGTTGAATCAACTTATATATAAATAAAATAATGTCAAGGTTATTTAATGACTCTCGTTATTCCGATAATTATTACATTCATAATAATATTTATTAGAACAGTCACATAAAAACACATTTATGCAATCATAATAATGATCAAAGGTCTTTGCACCCTTATATTCATAGCATTTCTATACTTTGTTTCCAGTTTCACCTTGAGATTTTTTTTATTAATATCAGCAGAATTTAATAAATGTGAACAAATGAAGATAAACGTGACGTGAAGATAAACTCTATTGTCGGTCCTGATAATAACGTACGTTAATAATTTTCTATAGATAATTTGTTATTATTAATTTCTAAATTTTCTTACTAAATTTATTTACTAAATTTTCTTTATATTTAAACTTAATTATAAACTACCTTCATTAGACATAATTGTGCCTATTTTTACAATTATATTTGATACAAATTTAGAAATATATTAATTTTGGTGTATTGTTAGTCAAATTTTAAATTGTAGAATGGAAGAGCATACAAATATGTTTCTGTTGTATCTCAAATCATATTTACTTTCAACTTTAATAATGAAGATGCATTTTCTTCAAAATTTCAAACTTGAATAACGAAAAATTTATATACTAGAAAAGAAAACATTTTTTATGTTGTTAGATAATTCAAAGACGTTCATATAAAGACGTTTTCTTTAATTAAATTCACTTGATTTTTTTTCAAGACTTTCAAAGAAGTATTTATTAGTTTTGCAAAATATATATTTGATAAAAACTTATATTTTTCTAAATTGTTTCTCTAAGTTTATAAACAAGTAAATAAAATGGATTTCTTTACTTTTTTGGCATATTTAAATTTGTTTTTCGTTAATTGATAGTAAGATCTATTTGAAAATTTTCAGTATAATATTTTTCAAGACTTTCAAACGAATTTAGTATTGATTATACCTCAAACTATTTATTTACAATTGCTTTGACCAATATTCCTTTCAACCAAATATTTTTTATAACAGTTATTATTTGTGAGATCTATCTGAAAATATCATATTGGAAGTCATTCTGATACGTTACGCGATGTATGAAATCGCTTTATACAAAATCGTGTTATTAAATTGTCCGTTATACGAAAATCGCGTTATATAAAACAGTTGTAGGAATTCGCGTTAGTGGAACACAGGTTTTGCGGAAGTCTAGTATATTTAATTCAATGTTATTTAAGACTCTATTAATATTCATATTTATTTTCATAATAATATTTGATGAGAGTTTTGTACGATCATTTTTCTAAACGTTTCTTGTCTATTTGTTCAAACTTTTCTGTATAATATCTTATAAATGTATATTAATGTTTTTAATTGAAATTGAAAGGTCATTCGGCTACTGAAGACGGAAAAACGCACGCAGACAACATCCTTTTAGTACGATTGATCCAACAATTTCACATAGAAAGTAGAAATTGGGGCGACATCGGATACAACTTTCTGATCGGTTCGGATGGAAGCACGTACATGGGTCGAGGCTGGGGTGTGCAGGGCGCTCACACAATCAGGTACACGCAGCAATAACAACTCTAATTAAAACGTAACATTTTCTTTGTTTCATCTCAGGTACAACCGATTTTCGGTGGGAATCTGCTTTGTCGGTTGTTTCATCAACATGTTGCCACCGGAAGTTGCGCTCGAACAGGCGAAGGCCCTCATCGAGCAGGGTGTAGAAGTCGGTGCTATTGATCCGAACTATTCCTTGCTCGGACACAGCCAGTGCATTTCGACGGAGAGTCCTGGCCGCATGCTTTTCGACGAGATCAGAACTTGGAAAAACTTTGATCCGACCGTCAGCGTGCAGATACCGTCCCCTTTGATTAGATAATTACCCGACAAAGTTCACAACTCGCATCATCATTTACTAATTAACTGCTGTTTTCTCATCCAGTTTCAAAGAAGACATATTCTTAAGTTGTTCAAACAACAACTTTCAACAACATTCAGAATTTATAATTTTGTTTTATACAATTTTTGTCTTGAAGATTATATTTATTATTTTATATTTTCTGATTCATTTCTAAATACGAATTTTTCGAACTTGCTCAATGAAAAAGTCAAAAGAATTCAATTTTGTTTTACACAATAATTGTAATAAATATTTTATTTAATATATTATGTTGCATCATTCACATTTAAACATGTAAAGTTTTAAGTAACTCAGAAAGTTGAAACAAAATTCTGAGTTTTAAAATATGTTTTATATAATTTATTAACTGATATCTTCACATTCAGTCATAAAGACGTAAAGTCTTAAATAAATCTTCCAAAAGCACTGAAAATATACAATTTGACTTCCTACATTTATTGATATAAATTTATATTATATTTATTAACTGATGTTTTCGAGTCAACTTCAAAGATATTAATTCTTAATTAGCATCTTAAATGAATCATTATTTATCATTTGAATCATTCAGTTTGAAAAACGTAAAGTTTTAAGTGATATAAGCATCTTCTAACAAATTTCAAATTGTATTTTATAGAATTTTTATATAATTAATTATATTTTACAAATCCTAAAGTTTATTGATTGTAAAAATAAACATAATCTTTAAAAATGTCTTGAAATAAAGTAAAAATTAAATTTAGATCTATATTTGAACTTTTCTATTTATTTATAAAGATTTCTAAATAAATTGAGTTGATGATCTTTATTCTTTAAATAAAGATGATAAAATATCAACAGTTCTTTTTATTACGACGATAAAGTGGATGATGTTGCATCTTTTTGTGTAGAAAATAATGGTAGATCAAAAGTTCTAATAATGATGACATTTGTTTGAAAGCTTTGGACAACCTCATACATAAACTCCCTTCTATTGATTAATAGATATTTTTCGCCCCCTAACGTCTTCATCCACTTAATTCCCCTTGTATAAATACGACGCTGAATTTTTCATAATCGAAAATAAACGATTTGTGACATGAGGGCGTGTAGGAAAGGGCGCAGCAATATGTATTAAGCGAGATAACGAATGGCTTCGCTCTGAAAGGGGGAAAAAGAAAATGTAATGGAAGTAATGATAACAACGAAAATTGCCCTACACTTTCAAGTTATGTCCGGAAAAGAATATTACATACGAACGCGGCGACTTCATTTTCGCAACGATTATGATTTGCAGATTGTCAACTCGTTTCTTTGTGTTATTAGTCGAGAAAATTCAATTGGGTCGACCATCCTATTAGTTCGCAATGGGTTTACGTGCTTGAAACTTTCGGACAAACGAACGATTTTGATAGAGGAGAACCGTTAACTTCGTCTAAGAGTATTTGCGAACGTCGACTGACATTGTTTAACGACTTCGGACTAACACTCTTTGAAGATCGTCGACTAATACTATTTGGGGTCCAAAATGCGATTGAGGGCTCTCGACTAACATTACTTGGGGCCCACACTTAAAATTATTCACTAACACAGTTTGTGACCCTCGGCCCTCTTTGAGGACATATTAATTGTATTTGGGGCCCTCGCACTGTTTGGGAGCTCTCAACTAACATACAATATCAGACTAGATTTCATATATTTACATGTTTTAAACCACTTACAGCGGAAGTCTCAGCGGAAGAAGACAAGGAAGTTGAAGTTTATTTATATACTCTACTTCAAATATCCATATCAATCTAATCAATATGCTCAAAGGAAATTACATCATATATAAGTAGACAAATAAAGTTAAAGAAGAGGCAGGACTATGATTTAATAAGAGGTAAACTATTGAAAGATCTGCGAGTTTTATTGATTACTCAAATATTCAATAATATAGTGGACAGTTGCACATATTCTATTAATATCCAAACCAGGAAAACCTCAAATCATACAGACCCAAAAACTTCTTAGTGATAATATCAAAAGTATTCGAAGGGATGAAGAAAAAATGTAATGGAAGAAATAATAACAAGGAAAATAGCCTGAAGAGAAAAATACATACAAATGAGACTTGATTTTGCAACTGTTTACAAAGAAAACATACATATAAATTATTAAATTATCTTCTATTTGTTCATATAGTAAATTTATATTGATAATCAAATTAATCTGCTGAGAATTAACTAATTGTTAATTAAGCTTCTAATATTAACGCCTTACCTTTGAAAAAAAAAATACATACATAGAAAAGAAATTATAGTATTTAATGTGCTCATACAGTCATTTTCTTTTGCATTTTCTCAAAGCTCCAATTTTTTCTATACGTGCTTTCATTTTCATTAAGTGCCACTTCTAATGACATCATACGTTTTTTAAACCTTTCAGTCTCGTTCCCTTCTTGACCTCATTTTTTTCGACGACTAAGCTCTTCTATCATACTCTTTGTGTTATTCAAATGGTAATTCTTTTTTTCTTTAATTTTATACCATTTTAATTACTTTAATAATTTCAAAAATCAAATTACTTATTAACAATTATTATAATAAAAAAAGAACAGTACTTTTATATTAGTAAATGTTACAGTTAACTTTGCTAATGTACAAGGTTCTATTCAATAGTTAGTTTGATAGTTATAATAGAAAGATAAACTACAATATCCAAGAAAAATCTGTTAAACAATTTCATAAAAGAAACGTTACTAATTTTCTTAGATCACCACTTTTCTTCCGCTGAAGTTATGCAAATTATCAGTTAAGAACAAAAGTATCAACTATTAAGAAAATATATTGGTTGAAATTGAATTTAAACAGAAAATATAAAAAAACTCAATTAGGAAAGAAATATGTTTAATTTAATAACAATGCAAATGAAAACTTATTATTTTACTATCATAATAATACATTATGATTCAGTGGTTATGTTTGCATAAGCTGCAGTGCGAATTAGCTTCAACTGCATTACCAACGCTGATTGATGCGTTACGTCGTCGGATGATGTAAGATGAGCGATGATGAGTGTGGGCAGTGAATAAGAGATGTCTCGCGCGATGAATATGCGCCATATGCGCGCCACAATAACCTGTTTGAAAAGGTAGGATTCAAATCGGGCCCGAGTCTAACAACAACTCTGTTCAGGGATAGACTGTCCGTTCGAAACCAGAGAACGTGCGTCGCCGCCGCCGCCGCAGCAACCGCCTCCTTCGACGTCGTCGTCGTCGCAGTCTTCGCGTCCTCCGACATCCTCCTTGTATACATACAAACATAGTTTCTCGTCCGGCACCGAGCAATATTTTCATTATTTTTTTCTTTAAAAAGATTCGAAAATAACAACAGTCCTATAAATAGAAACGACCGTCGTCCGAATACAATTTTCCAACAGAAACAGACATTGAGAAGTTCTAAATTTTCGCATTTTGTTTCTTTAAAAAAAAAACAACTAATTGTTTCTATATAGTAGTAGAAATGATAAGAAATAACTGTGATTCGTGCAATTTAATGGTGATTTCGATAGTTCGATCAATGTGCCCAAATATCTTCGACTGAGGTAACGACTATTCTGTTGTAATAATAGTCCATTATACACTTTATATTATATTTTAGTTGAGTTTTTTTTTTTAAATAAATCCGTTATACATCCACATATTGTTCATACATTCGAAGGAAAGCGCGCGTTCTGTTTATTTTCGTATCCCTTAATTGATCCGCCTACAAATGTTTTATTTTAAAAGTGAGTTTATTGGTTTTGAATACATAATCGCATGCAGTACGCTGCCAGCCGTGGGCAGGGCCATTGCCATCGAATCACCACTTCCTTTCTAAACATCCATGCACTATTCCAGTGGAAAGACATACAAAAAAAACACACACAGTTTTGATTTCGAGTAAGTTTGTTATACCTAAACCCATCATCATTACATTCAAATAAACATACATCCATGCACATAATTTCGATTTCCAAAAACACCAATACCTTTGAAAGAATGAATTGCAACCTCTAGGCATTCACTAGCTTCATTTCGAGTTGCATTATAGTCTTCTGGGAGACCTTGAAACTGCATTGGAAAACACTAAGATGCAGCCCGATCCTGTTTTATTGCCTCCTTTTTTTCATCTCCTTACTCTCTCACTCTCGCTTCACTTCTTCGTGCCTTGACCGGACGCTCTCAATGAACGCGTGTGCTCATGTACATATCATTACTATTCCTCTTTAAGACAATGCCTCATCTCCGAATCGAAACATTCCAATAGCAAGCAATTTATTTATGTATATATATATATATTCATTTAAAAACTGAGATTCGTAATATTTCGTTGAATACAGTTACACGAAATTATGCAAATTGCACCTGAGAGAAGAATCAAGATTATGTAATGTAAATTTACATTTTTTTAAGTGGCAATAACATCCTGCACCGAACGAATCTCTCGCTTTGTTTGCGTCTGCAGGCTTTCGGTTTGAATCGAACCAACCGAAGCAATTAGTTCAATCGATAAAGTAAGTGTGTGCATCTGATGCTTCGGGATTAATCGTCGATATTTGCCCAAGGCTATTAACAATGGAAGGGAATTAATTTCGGGAAAAACGTTTTTTTTTTATCAATGATTGATGGACGTCGCTTCGATGTAATAGCTTTCGGTTCGATATGCAGTCCACATTGTAGACTCTACATTGTAGACCAGTTGGGGTAAAAATTGCGGTTTCAATTTGCTGAATGTAAACAAACAAAAAATATGCTTCTCTCTTTGATTCTGATGACTGGGGGAAAATTGCGGCTTCAATTTGCCGCAGGTAAACTAAAAAAAATAATAATGCTTTGATGATGATTCTGATGACGATAATTAACTGCGTATATGGAAACACAATGCAAGTGCTTCTTTCATCTTCCGTGTACCGTATGCGTTTGTAATGTAACGCATCGTGATAAGTCTCGTAATGAGGAATGACGGATGCGTCGCAATTGAAGTTCATTGTAACAGTAGTTTGCAGCCGGACAAACAATGTGGCATTGTTTTGTTGTGCGGGTTTCCTTCGAATCCAATTAGAATAAGTCTTGTTTCGTTCTCTCGTGCCCTTTTCTTGTTCTTCATCTACTGGTAATATGATACAACTACGGGTATTTGATATTTTACGAGTTAATATTTGTAAACATTCCATGCCCGAAACAGAGACTTGTACGTAGACTAAACAAGTGTTTCACGATCACCAAACTTAATTTTACCAAAATACAAACACTTATTCATAACACATATTTCTTGTATAACTTAAATAGTTATAGCACAGTTTTCAATTGAGTACAATAATACATCGCATTTATTATTATTCTGTTAATTACCTCGTATAGTGCGGGTTCAGCCAATATCTCGGACTATTTGGAACTGAACTAATCGAGGCTTTGAAAGAAAATCAATTGATAGAATTTTGTGTAACAATTTTTAGAATATTTTTTTCTTCCGGTTAATTACCTCGTATATTGCGGGTTTCGCCAATATTCCGGACTGTTTATAACCGAAATAATCGAGGATATTAAAAGAAAATCAATTTTGAAGAACATTTTTGTTGGAATTTGTTTGTATTTTGCACAAATTAATATTTAATCCGGGCTATAGTCAGTCCAGATTTATTAAAACCGAACTATGCGAGGTATTTCAGTAATGTATTATGTGAATATATTCGAAACACATATATGTTTGTAGATACTAATAAAGTAACTAATTACAAATTTAATTGTATCAAAGTTAAACTATAATTATTTACGAAACTTTAGAACCTTAACTTGTTACGCAAAACTTAACTATTAACAAACTCTTCATATGCAATTTCATAAATTAGAATTTTTGTTTGCGTGTAGTAATTATCAATTTGATTAATTAATTTCAACGTTAGAATAACATGGGAAATTTATTTTTTATTTAGTAAACACTTGTGATTATATTTGTATAATTCGTGTGGTTTTTCTCATAAATTGTCATTCTAATAATACTTGAATATGTAAAAAATCACAGCTTAATTTATAATTCCATTTTCTTTAGATTCTTACAAACTTGTTACGCGTTTATTCTTATCATTATAATCATATTTTTTTTTTGTAAATATTGAGGTAAACCTTTTTGTAATAATTTTATACACGATACATAGATTAATAGACACAAGTCACCAATGATCAACTGAATTATACTGAAGTCCCATATTTCTTTAATAACTAATTACTTTTCAAGTAATTTTGATTCTATTTTTATATATAACTTTATTAACTTAAATTTAGGGTTTATTACGTTTATTAAATTATTTCAAATTTAGATTAACATTGAAAATTGTTAAATTTATTTTGTCAACATTCATAAAAATCAATCAGAAAATTCTCTTAATTTAATTATTATAATATCTATTAATAAAACCGTAATAAATTTAATTGCAAATTATTAAATTTATATATAACTTAAATTATTGATGTGATATTTTTGTGATTTATTTAAGCTGCATTCTGTATTCTATTCTAGTTACAGTTTTATAAAGTTTGTAGGATTAGTGGATTATTTTCTTTTCTCGTTCCGTACGGAAAGCATTTCAATCAGCGTTTCACAAATTATGCAGTCTCATCTTCAGCAGAGTTTCTCTCCTTTTCGAACTACATTTTCAGTTCACGGAACAGAGAAAACACAATCAACGACGACGTGCGTCCGTCAGCGCGTAATCAACGAGAGTGAAAGGCCTCAAATTCGATTCACTCGTTCTTCTGTTCAAAATCTCTAGCATATTCTCCGTGCCAAATTTCACATCTTTGCCCCAATTTTGTCCTCAATTATGCAAATATCAATGTTGTAATTTATTCAATTATCACAATAATACTGTAAAATGTGATTGAATTTGATGCGCATTCATCAATAAGGAAAACTCGTATATAATACGTACGCTTGATTTAGCAATAATTTTTAATACAATTAATTTACAAAGTTTAATTTCGTATATTTTGTATATAATTTGCATCTATATCTTTACAGAATTGCATACAATTTGCACTCGTGTCAAAATTAATTCTTCAAGATTTGCTAATTATTATAACCTTTTAATGAATATAAGTGAATAATAAGTGATATTTGACAAAATCACTTGTATTTTGACAAATATCACTCTTAATCACTATCACAGCAGATGGTATGTTTGTACGCTCATTTGTTTATTGCTTTCTATAAGTATATACGAATTATGATAAATTAATATTGTTTTGCACTCGAGTATAATACGCATCCTTTCGTGTACTAAACAAAATAAGTACGAATTATACGTATTATACTCGAGATATTATGATGAAATTATTATTATTTTTGTACGAAATTACAAAACGCACCTTTTTTGTGAAATAATGAGTAGTAATTGTGCGTATTATAGACGATATGATACGTTATAATATTGGAAATGAACTTTATACTTGTGTATAACACGCTCATGAGGAAGATGGGACTTCTTTTTTGTGAGTTCATTAAAATACGAATTATACGTATTATACTCGAGATATTATGATAGTTCAATAATGAAATTATTATTATTTTTGTACGAAATTACAAAACGCACCTTTTTTGTGATATAATGAGTAGTAATTGTAATTGTGCGTATTATAGACGAGATGATACGTTAATTCAATATTGGAAATGAACTTTATACTCGTGTATAATACGCACATAAGGAAGATGGGAATTCTTTATTGTGAGTTCATTAAAGTACGAATTGTGCGTATTTTACTCGAAATATTATGATAATTCAGTATTGAAAACATTATTATTTTTGTACGGAATTACTATACGCACTTTTTTTTGTGATATAATAAGTACTAATTGTGCGTATTATAGACGAGATGTTAGGTTAATTCAATATTGGAAATGAACTTTATACTCATGTATAATACGCACATAATTAAGATGGGGCTTCCTTATTGTGAGCTAATTAAAATACGAATTGTGCTTATGATACTCGAGATATTATGGCAGTTCACTATTGAATACAATACGCATTTATTTTGTGATATAATGAGTAGTAATTGTTACGTTGCGAGATGTTACGTTAATTCAATATTGGAAATACTCGAGTATAATACGCACATAAGGAAGAGAGAGTTTTATACTTGAGATTATGGATACAATAATGGTCACCAAATTATTTTTTTTAAGTCTCTAATTATGTTTTTTTTTTATACAACTTATCTAGCAAGCTGTGTATATTACGTTACAATTAAAATAAACGTCGTTGTTTTAAATTAGCTACAACTGTCATTGTTTCTAATAAAGAATTGTCCTGTAGTTTACAAAATAAAAAACAGTTAATTTAAATTTAGAGACAGACTTGCTGTGCATGTGTTGCTTCGTTTTATTGTATATATATGTAATTTGCGAAGGGTAAGTAACCCGTTATACCGGCATATGTGAATATATACTTGTGCAGCTGTCTCATGGTCAGTTGCTTTGGTAACCGAGGGAGGAGGAGGCTCCGGTTGGGATTACATGGTCCACGGATTCTGAATTCTGTATTGCACAACAAGGACAACAGCAACA